AGCTCAGAGCCTGGAATCTGCTTCAGATTCTGTGTCTCCCTCTCCCTCTGCCCCTCCCCTGCTCACGTTCTTTCTCTGTCTCTCAATAACAAGTAAACGTAAAAAAAAAAAAAAAAAAAAAAAAGAAATATGACCCAATGGGCAAAGGATCAGAATAGACACTTCTCCAAAGAAGATATACAAACGGTCAATAAGTGCATGAAAAGAAAAGATACTTAATATCATTAGCCATTAGGGAACTGTAAATCAAAACCACTGGAGCACCTGGGTGGCTAGGTTGGTTAAGCATCGACTTTGGCTCAGGTCATGATTGCACGGTTCGTGAGTTCGAGCCCCGTGTCAGGCTCTGTACTGTCAGCTCAGAGCCTGGAGCCTGCTTCGGATTCTGTGTCTCTCTCTCTCCTTCCCCCCCACTCCCCACACTCTGTCTCTGTCTCAAAAATAAATAAAAAACATTAAAAAAATTTAAAAAAAACCATAATGACATACTGCTTCACACCCATTAGGATGGCAGTGGTTTAAAAAAAAAAAAGACGATTAACAAGGGTTGGGCAAGGATGTGGAGAAACTGGAATGCTAATACAACACTGGTAGGAATGTAAAATGGTGCAGTAACTGGAAAAAGACTTTGGCAGTTTCTTAAAAAGTTAAACAAACTTAACCACAGGACCTGCCAATTTCAAACTTAGAAATCTACACAAAATAAGAACATATGCACATGTAAAAACCTGTACATTCATGTTCATAATAGCATTATTGATAATAGCCAAAAAATGGAAACTCAATGCCTATCAATAAATGGATAAAGAAAATGTGGCATATATATACAATGAAACATTACTTAGCAAAAAAAAGGAATACAATACTGATATATGGATGCACTTTGAAAACATTAAGTGGAAAGAATCCAGTCACCGTAGACCATCCAGTGTATCACACAGTTTCATTTATATGAAATGTCCAGAAGAGGCAAATCTATAGGACAGAAAGTAGATCAGAGTTGCCTAACGCTAGGGGGCATTGAAAGACTGGAAGAAAATGAGGGGTGACTATTAATAGGTATGGCATTTCTTTCTGGGGTGATGAAAATATTCTAAAGTTGAACGTGGTGATGGTTGCCCAACTCTATAAATATACTAAAACCAATGAACCATATATTTTAAGTGAGTGAATTGAGTGATGTATAAATTATATCTCAATGAAGTTTTTATTGAAAAGATACAAACACAGGGAGCCTGGGTAGCTCAGTCGGTTAAGTGTCCGACTTCAGCTCAGGTCATGACCACATGGTTCAATGAGTTAGAGCCCCATGTCAGGCTCTGTTACTGACAGCTCAGGGCCTGGAGCCTACTTCAGATTCTGTGTCTCCCTCTCTCTCTGACCCTCCCCTGCTCTCACTCTGTCTGTCTCTCTGTCTCTGTCTCTGTCTCTGTCTCTCAAAAAAAAACATTAAAAAAAAAAAAGAGATGGGAATGCAAACTGGTGCAGCCACTCTGGAAAACAGTATAGAGGTTCCTCAAAAAACTAAAAATAGAACTACCCTACGACCCAGCAATTGCACTACTAGGCATTTATCCACAGGATACAGGTGTGCTGTTTTGAAGGGACACATGCACCCCCATGTTTATAGCAGCACTATCAACAATAGCCAAAGTATGGAAAGAGCCCAAATGTCAATGGATGAATGGATAAAGAAGATGTGGTATATATGTACAATGGAGTATTACTCGGCAATCAAAAAGAATGAAATCTTGCCATTTGCAACTATGTGGATGGAACTGGAGGGTATTATGCTAAGTGAAATTAGTCAGAGAAAGACAAAAATCATATGACTTCACTCATATGAGGACTTTAAGAGACAAAACAGATGAACATAAGAGAAGGGAAACAAAAATAATATAAAAACAGGGAGGGGGAGAAAACAAAAGAGACTCATAAATATGGAGAACAAACTGAGGGTTACTGGAGGGGATGTGGGAGGGGGGATGGGCTAAATGGGTAAGAGGCATTAAGGAATCTACTCCTGAAATCACTGTTGCACTATATGCTAACTAATTTGGATGTAACTTAAAAAAAAAAAAAATTAAATTAAAAAAAAGAGAGAGAGAGAGATACAAAAAGAAGAACCTCCATTTGTCTGGGGAAGCCACATATCCCAAGAATGCCAAATCATGCAATGCCTTATTTATCCTGTATACGTACCCTAAAGGTAATGGAAACCCACTAAAGAGTTTTTAAATAGGGAAATATGATAATTAGACCTTTTGCAATGTTTGATGAACAGACTGGAAGAGAGCAAAATTGAACTTGAGATATCAGTTAAGAGACTAGAGTCTGAGAAGAGATAACTGGACTCAAGAGGTGTTAGGGAACTAAGATCAATAGGAATGATGGATGGTTCTAAGATGTGACAGTACTACAAGCTTTCTCCTTTGTAAAACTTTGTATGGTGATGCCTTTATTGGGATAGGGAATAACAGAGGTGTTACTATTTATGTGGTTGTAGTTTGTAAGAGGGATGTGTGTCCGTTTTTTATGTATTCATTCTAGATGTCTTTACATTATCCCAGTATCTAGCTATACACATTAGGAGAGCAAAGAAAAACCAGAGGCAGAAGATATATATTTGGGTGTTATCAGTGTAAGTGAAAAATGAATCGGTAAGAACAAAGACACTGCTTAGGAAGAAACAGAAAGAAAAAAGGAGGCAGTAAAATGGAACTGAACAAAATACCTCAATATTTAAAGAATAAATAAAAAGAAATGAGCTGGACAAGAAGACTACAAAGTGGTCTTAGGAAAAAGCCAGGAGACTATTAGTGTCATGAACACTAAGAGGACAATTTCAAGAAGGACTTAGCACTGAAAGCTGCTTTTCAAAGCGAAGTAAAGTGAGTAGAGGGAGGGAGCCAAAACATAAGAGACTCTTACAAACTGAGAACAAACTGAGGGTTGATGGGGGTGGGAGGGAAGGGTGGGTAGGTGATGGGTATTGAGGAGGGCACCTGTTGGGATGAGCACTGGGTGTTGTATGGAAACCAATTTGACAATAAATTTCATATTTAAGAAAAAAAATGCCATTTGGATCTAGTAACAATGGAGATGTCTTCAGGGATGTTAGGGACGTGCAAATCTGGAGGCAGGATGGAACAGAAGCCAGATTGGAATGAGTTTAAGAATACTAAATGGAAATAACTAGTTCAGTTGTAAAGGGGAGTAAGTCTCTCTGCTGGAGAGCAGAGCACAGTAATTATGGGTTTTGAGGTTTTGTTCCTGAAAAATTTGAGTAATTTGATCATATTTAAAACAAAAGTTAAAGAGTCAATAGAGACAGAAAGACAAATAGAAGTTGAACATATAAGAAAAACAAGTGAAAATCAACAGTATTTGGTTCCTAAAGAGGTGGAGAGGACTGAGATCCAGAGAACATAGGAAGAGTTATGCTTAGACAGAAGGATGGAAAATTCTTCAACGTGACAGGAATAAAGATGGAATGAAAGTACTTGCAGGTTAGGTATTTATATCTGTCAGCAGAAAATTAAAGGAAATCCTGTCTGATGGCTTTTATTTATTTTTTTTGAAGGCAAAGTCATCTGCTAAAAGTGAGAATGGAAAGTAGGAGAGAAAGGGATTTGACAACAGTGAAGGTTAAAAAGTTGCCCAGTTAGATTCCCACGGGATGTTTATTCCTTGTTTGTTTTAATATTATTCCATTACCCTTTTTTTCTTTACCATATACCCATATTTAATTATAGTTTTCTATTCTAATTTCTTTGGTTTTATTTACAATCAGAATACCAAATTCAACTGTGCTGTTATTACCATCATATTAACAATTCATCTATAATGCTTCCTATTAACTTTCCTGTTTAAAAGTCAAAAGGAAAACCTATATATCATCTTACATGATGATATTAACTTACCTGTTTAAAAGTCAAAAGGAAGACCTATATATCATCTTACATGATGAATTTCAAAACTACCCATTATGCTTATAAAGGTAAGCAATCATTTATCATATATACAAATTTTACCTCCACACATTTAGAAGGCATACCATTTGCTTAGAGGATTTTATTCCACATCACTTTTTAACTGTGGCATATTATTTACAAAGATAGCCTCAACAATCCTTCCCATTCTTGTGTGCACTACCATTTGTATTGCGACTTCTCTATTCCTACAATCAGAAGTGGAGTCTGTTTCTTTTCCCTATCAATACAGGCTGGCCCTGTGATATACTTTGACCTATAAAATTCCATAGACATGACAGTAAATGACTTTCCAATGTAGCTTTCAAGAGCCCTTTTAGCTCTCACTCTTGCATTCTTGGACTGTGATACATGAAGAAGCTCCAGTTAGCCTTCTGGAACATGAGAGATTACAGGGAGAAGGATCCAGCCAACAGTACCATTTCCCAGACATGAGAGTGAGGTTGTTTTAGACTGTCTAGCTCTAGCTGACCCATCAGATGAGCATAGCCATATGTGTCCCTGTGTGAGATCAGCAAATTGACCACCTGAGCCCAATTCAAACTGCCAACCCACAGAATCATGAGCAAATTTAACCGTTTTAAATCACAGCTGAAGCAATAACCTAATTTTTAATTTTCCTTTTCTATTTAAAAAAATATAGAAAAATAACTGAACATATAAACTTAGCACTTTTCTCATAGCAAAATCATAATAATATCACGTTTACTTATCATGCTATTTACTTTGCACCTAAACTTAAGCTTCCTAAAAACAAAATTACCTGAGCAAGAGTCTTGCAGTTCAGCCATTTATTCATTTATTAATTACATACTGTGTGTCGGAATCATTCCAGACACTGACCATATATTAGTGAGTAAGAGATAAAAATCTCTACCCTCATTGGGGGAAATATGGACAACCCAAATCCAAAATATATTATCTTCTAATATATAGCTATTATAATAACATCTATAATTTTCAAGGGAAGAACATGTAAAAAGAAATGTTACAAATAATCACTCTTACCCTCATGCCAAGCACCAAGAACCCAATCTCTTCCATTAATGGGTACTTGCTGACCTGTTGCTTAATCTTCTCAGATGAGGCAAAAGGATCATAACTCTTTTGCCCTATCTTTACATCCATTATACAGGGCTTATTAAATTTATGGGTCACATCTTCCAGTTTTAGGTATAAATCTGTTATTAAAGAAAAACCTTAATTAGTAATAGGCAAACATATTACTACTCAAATAACTACCAGGGGAAAACAAAATGAGGAAATCTTAAAACTGAGAAAAAAGTTAAAACAAATCCAGAGTCAACAATTATTATTACTCCATCTGGGAAAAAAAAAAACTGACCAACAAATTTATAACAAGTGTAAATATCACTCAGAAACTCTTCAGGAGGTTATTAAACAATATTCATAAGCAAAGGCATGAAATAGATATAAGGACATTAAAAATAACTTATTTTAAAAGCTATTCCAGAAATGTATTCCCCTTTGAGAATACAGTTTATGTCATCTATGCCTCACTAGATCTCTCAGTATTTTAATAATTTTTAAAATTCTTCATTGAAAATTAGTAATAGGAGGGGCACCTGGGTGGCTCAGTCAGTTGAGCGTCTGACTTCAGCTCAGGTCATGATCTTACAGTTCATGAGTTCTAGCCCCATGTCAGGCTCTTTGCTGATAGCTCTGAGCCTGGAGCCTGCTTCAGATTCTGTGTCTCCCTCTCTCTCTGTCCCTCCCCCAACTCATGCTCTGTCTCTCAAAAATAAACATTAAAAAAATGTTTAATTAGTAATAGGAACAAATCCTTCGCACAGAGTATACAACAGAACTATAGCTTAAGAAAAGTAAGTCAATTTAAAATATGGTCACTGCCAAATACACATTTTAGTCTTAATACTCTAAAAAGGAAAATAAATATCTTGCTTTTTAGAATATAGGCATTCATCAAAAGTTCATCTGTAAACCACTTTGGCATCCTGCATACATCTTCCCATAGAAAACCATTATAAATGGAGATTCAAGTAAAAGATTATAGAAGTCCCAGTTATTACATACTATAGCTGAACTAATTATAGCTTTAGCCTGAAAGTAGGGATCTAGCTACACTAAAGGAATGGAGGAAAGAAATTCTTCCCCTTTTTATTTGAAAGAATCTTCCCAAAGTTCTGAATGAGATCATAATTTTCACTTATGAACATGAGAAGCATTTCTCCTAAAAACTTTTTCTCAAAAACAGAATTTATCTGCTTTTTAAAAAATGTATATTTATTTATTTTGAGAGAGCAAGTGAGCGAGAGCACAAAGCAGGGCAGGGAAAGAGAGAGAATCCCAAGCAGACTCCATGCTGTCAGTGCAGCGTCTGATGCTGGTCCGATCCCACAAACCCTGAGATCATGACCTGAGCCAGATGCTTAACTGACAATGCCACCCAGGCACACCTCTGCTTTTCACCAAAGTGACAAAGTTAGAAAAGGTATGTATTTTCGATTAATTAAATAAAAGGCCACCAGACAAAAAAGACTTCACCCTTTTTTCTTTTACCTTGACCCACCAAGACTAGCATAGTTATTAAATTATAACAAAGAAGTCTGCATTGAACCAAAAAGGAGAACAACCCTGACAGGGCTTGAGAAAGTGCTAAGCCCCTCAGATTTAAGGGCCATAAATCTTTTCACTGAAAGGATAAAAAATAAAGACATAAATTTTATCCCTTAGTCAAAGGAAGACTGGGGAAAGGTTAGGACTGTGTAGAAGTAGGTTAAGTCAAGCCCAAATATGATAAAAAGCTATAGCGTAAGAGACTAGCACTGGCACACAAGGAGTATGACACATTTTAAAGAAAGCCTCTCACAAACAGACTTGTTCAATAAGAGAAAACAAAAGGTCTGGACACAGACATGGATTGTTGATAGTGAAAGGTAATGGCACAGTGAGACTATCCTGTTCAAGACTGGAACCCACCCAAGCTTCTGTGCTTTAAAAAATAACCACAACCGGGGCGCGCCTGGGTGGCTAGGTTGGTTGAGCGTCCAACTTCAGCTCAGGTCATGATCTCACGGTCTGTGTGTTCGAGCCCCGCATCGGGCTCTGTGCTGACAGCTCAGAGCCTGGAGCCTGCTTCGAATTCTGTGTCTCCCTCTCTCTCTGCCCCTCCCCTGCTCAAGCTCTTTCTCTCTGTCAAAAATAAATAAACATTAAAGAAAAAAACCAAAAAACCAGAGGATGGGGTGAGAAGATGGGGGAAAAAAGCACAGAACAGGCCCCTTCTGATTCTCTCCTCCCATCTCCAGCTACCTTGAGAGAAAGTACACAGATCCATCCCTCTTTCCGTAGCTGTGTAAAAATTTTAGCAACAAGGTTTATATTTCAAATATAATACTTACATTGCTTTTAATACTTTAAGCATAAAAAATTCCTATAGCAAGTTTTCTACTGCTGGAATATATTTCCAACCCTCTAAGAAAGAGGCAGAAAATTCCCAGTGTCAAAAGAGAAGAAAACAGACATATGAAATATTGTGGAAAAATTGAAAGACCTGTATTAACTAAATAGTAAAGATGAGATAATTAGTTCCTTTAAAGGAAAGACAAGGCAGAACGCCATTTAGGGAGCTGAAGAAAAACTTATTTAGATCCCCTTACTGAATATTATTGATTGTATAAATTATAAGAATACAGATTCCAAGTTTAATCAAATTCTTCCCTGCCATATCTAGAAAATCTACTAGGTATTGATTACCATCTTCATTTCTGAACCTCTCAAAAAGGGGAAAAGGCCACATAAGGAACCCCTGGCCAACTATGAAGCCATATGGAAAATCAGAGAAGGCCTTACTTCTGCCTTCCACTTCAATCATCAGTCATTTCCAAGAGCAAAATAAGCTGAAAGTAGAATTATAAGCAGAGATTTTGAGCCTCCAAATTTGATTTAAGTGTAAAGGAGAGAACAGACATGTATGCCAACTTATTTCAGTCCACACTTCCTAAAATTTGACTAGTAGCTAGATCCAGAAACCTAATAATCAATAAGGCTGATTGAGATTACAATTGAAAACTCTCAATTTGTTCAAACCTACTTGAAGATACACTTCTCTATTTCCCTAAAGAACTACCAATAAAAGGCTTTTGACAGTACATGTACTAGGCATATGTTTATACACAGATACAAATGTAATTTAATATATATAACTAGCTCAAAATCTTTAAAGATAGTATCAGCAAAAAATGTTTTACCTTTCAAAAAAATCCCATTAGTCATGCTCTAAAATTAACTAATGGTGATGACTGTACAACTCCATGAATATACTAAAAACTACTGAATTGTATAGCTTAAATGGGTGAGTTTTATGGTACATAAATTATGCCTTGATAAAGCTATCATAAAAAATCAAAAGAAAAAAACCTTATCAATCAGCACATTCTTAGGCTTCTCTCAAAGTTACAATAATTTGCTGAGCAAACTGGCAGTACTTTCTACATTTTACTACTTTGGATTGTAAGAACTGTATCAAGTTTTATAAATCTCTACTCTGAGCACCTAAAAAAAAGATGCCCAAAGGGGGAATAAAAGGCCAGTTATTTCATATGTAAAATAAAGTAATGCTAACCACAGTATTCTACTAAAATTTTTAAAATATTTTTTAATGTTTGAGAGAGAGCACCCACAATGAGTTGGGGAGGGACAGAGAGAGGGAGAGAGAGAATCCCAAGCAGGCTTCACACCAGCAATGCAGAGCCCAACATAGGGCTCGATCCCATGAACTGTAAGACCATGACCTAAGCCAAAATCAAGAGTCGGACACTTAACCAACTGAGCTACCCAGGCGCCCCAGTATTCTACTAAAATTTAAGAGAATTTGTTTTCATGACCCTGTTGGCTAAACATGTACAAAAGTTTCCCATTTTATATTGATTTCATTTATAATCAAAAGGATAAAAATGGAAAAATGATTCCATAAACTCTCTATTAAAATCAAAGCTAAGCACCTGCATGGTGCAGCAGTTCTCATCTAACTTCTTCCAGAGGTAAAAAATTGAAAAGGAAGAGGAAATTCCCTGAGGCAGTTGTTGCTAGTACTGAGCCACTCTGTACATATATACTTTTTATTCCTGTTCTTTTACTCCTTTTATTTGCATTTTCTCCTCTCTTCTTTCATTTTCCCTACTTCATCTTCTCATCTCAGTAGCACCAAATTTCCATTTATATTCAAATAAGAATACAGAGTTTTCAAAGCATTCTCACATAACATAACATGCATCTTCTCAACTCTCTGTGGTATTATTTTCAATTTATAGTAGAAAAAGTAGAGATCAGAAAGGTTAACGAGTTAGCCAAATTTCTATTTAGTTGTTCTTTAATTCACATATTTAGCAGTTTCTTAGTTCTCAAAATTTGGACATAATCAAGGTAGAAACCAAGTGTTTGACTTCAAAGTTACTGCTCTTTCTATAGATGCATAGATGGCCATTTAGTACTGAAGATGAAAAGGCTGTTGATTGTGAGCAAGTCCTTGATTTGCTATATCATTGCTGCACCATGCAGCACCATGCAACATATAGCACCATATAGCACCATGCAGCACCATATAGCACCATGCAGGTGCTATATCATTGCTAGATCATATGCTAGTAATCACAAACTATAAAATGTCATTTTTAATTAAAATATTTCTCTCACTCAAATTCTTTCTGTATACCTACTTTTCAAAATAATGATGCCATTTGTTCAGTATTCTACTCCTTCTTAATAATCTTTTTAAACTGAGTATTTACTTTCTAGATGTTGAATCTAGTCCCATCCTCAGCAACCTTTGTTAATCTTTCAATGTCACTTTACTGAAGAGTCATGATTTGCTCAAAATTAAATAGCAATTAGTAGCAAAGTTTAATGGAATCCAGATATCTTACATTACAATGGAAATCTCTATGAAGTAAAGGTGGTCATAAAGATTTGTGACACAATTTAAGGTGCTGATCTGAATCAGGGATATATGTATGTATAACATATGTATTATATATATATGAAATATATGTATATTGGACTAAAGACAAGAAAGAAAGAAAAAAAGAAAGGAAGGGAAGGAGTAAGGAACAAAAGAAAAAAGAAAGAAGGGAGAAAGGAAAAAGAAAAGCTAGGCTCACTCTTTTTTCATATAACTGAAATACAGAATTCCCAGGGAATCATAGATTTACTATTACCTAACTGAGGATACTCACAGGGAGATATCATGATTCCCCTAAAAATGAAACATGGCATACCTAGTAAGTTAGTAGAAGGAAACCCAGTCAAGTTTAAAACTCTTCCCCCATTCATGAACCTTCTTCAATTTTTAGGCAGTCATGTTACTTGTTTAAATAAAATTTGTTCTGTCAAAGGCCTTGAAAAGGCAAACACTGCTTCAAGCATTCACTAAGAAAGAAATGCTGTGACTTTACATAGATCATTTTGTCCTCTAACCATGAAACTTAGCAGTAGTTTTTAAAAGACTGCAATTTAGAACCTAGAGATGGGGATAGGAGATACAGAGAAAAAGTCATACAAAGAAAATATTTTTTTTCCTACTCAAAATGGGAAACTGTCCAATAAACTAGGAAAAAGGAACATCTATAAATTAATATAGTACTAAGTATGTAGATTTTTTTATTCAATTACAACAAATTGGTCATTAATGTTACATACCATTTAAGAAACTGGTTATGAAAAGCAAAAGTATTAAGTTTTCCTTAATGAAGTAGAAAAAATACTAGAAAGAAAAACACACATATATTGTTTGTATAACACTAGGCTTGATTTTATATACAGACTTTTAAAAAGCTACTCTCATGAATTAATACTAAAGGATGTATTCTTAAGAAAAGGTTACCATTTGGTGCAGTTGGAGGTGACCAGATGCCATAATATTTTGGCAAATATTTTCGTAGCTCTAAAAGAACACCATCAGTACAATCAGCAGCATAAACCTGAAATATAGATAAATAAAACATTTGCATGTTGGTTTTTTATAATGCTTTATAATTGCCCTACATATTTCTCAAAAAAAAACAATACTGTTGAATCATAATTTATCTGGTATGAGTTTCAGCTGGAAATACATTTGGAAGCAAAAAAAGATTACTGTGTATCTCCAATGAAAAACTGCATATTGTTTACAGCACATTCTTCTTCATCTAATTCTAGCTTTTCACTGTCCTTGAACTATTTTACAACTAAGTAAAATGTAGATAAAGCTTTACGCAAATACAAAATAATTCCTGTCCACAGAAACATAAATAAATTCTGGCCAGAGGAGGTTCAACTGACTTCCCTCCACCCTCTACCCACCATGGGAGGGGAGAATTCAGTATCCACACATATATACTTATTTTCACTTCCCTTATTCCTTATAAATTTGTTCTTCTTTGGCTTCTCTTCTGAACCAGTTTCAATATCTGCTTCGTTCCCTCATTAAATAATGAGTTCAACAAAATCTTTAACAACTATTTATTTCATGTCTACAAGGAAGTTATGATTTTACCTTTAAAAAAATTATCGTTTAACTTAATTAAGTCCAATTATTGTGCATTTAATTCCTTGATTTATAACCAATAATAATTCTAGAAAATACTAAAATGTTCCTGTATCCTGGAACTAGATTCTTTGTTTGTTTCCTAAAAGATGAGGGAAAGAAAATATTTTTGTTTAAAACACAACTTATAAGACATTTTATCCAACAAACTCTCACAATATGGTCTACCTAATTATCCAAAACCATTAAAGTTTATGGGTGTAAAATGTTTATGAAATCTTAGTATTACAATTCTATTTGTCAAGCCATATTCATGTCAAGTAGTTACACCTACAAGCCAATTCTACAGAATGAACTCAATCAAGTGTGGCATAAACTCACCAGATATCCATGTGATCTACTGAAATGTGAGCAGAAGTGGTATTAGTCACTTCTAGGCCAAGGTAATTAAGAGAAGGGTGTACCTTATCATCTCTCTGTTCCTGGCCTAAGGAACAGAGGGCAGAGTGTTCATGATGACATAACAACAAGATGGAGGAACTAGGTATATATCTATGTACTTAGTAGTTAAAGAAGTTGATGATATTTTTATTCATGAAAAAGATAAAAGAACTGGAAGAGTAGAGAGATAAACTTTCCCTTTTTACTTTAAATATTTTTTTAAAGTACTAGGCCTGGTATTTATTTCAACACACCGGACTAGATAACCTAAAAAACTTTTCTACTAGAGAGATGTAGGATAAAATATAACAAATATTTTCTTAAATGCTTAGCTGAGCTCCCAAGGAAAGAAAGGAAATTCATAGGGGTCTATATAAGTAAAGAGGAAATCAAAAGCAGTAAGCTAAGCAGTGATGTTTGGGCTTCATAAAGGTCCACTCCAAAGACTTCAACCAAAGGATCTCTGAATTTAGGGTCTAGGCATAAAGGTGGACACAGAGGAGGTCAGAGTTACTATCCTAAAACAGGGAGAGTAAATGAAAGTCTAACTACTGAACAGTAAAAACTTTGGCATCTTCTCCCTTCCCCTACCATTGTACTCCAAAAATGCTGGGGGCAATGCTGATATAGAAAAAGATAGAAGCAATAAATAAACAACATCAGGAACAAAAAAGGAGTCATAAGTAGATTATAAAATATAATCCAACTATATTTTACTATCACACTGACAAAAATTCAAGATATTTAAGAAACTGAATCAGTGGTTACAAATCTATCTTTTCCCAGGAAAGAGAATGAAATGTAAAAAGGATAGGAAAAAAGGAAAGGGAAAAAGAAAAGACAGACAGACATTTGGCTACTCTGATGAATTTAGTTAAGTTCTATCAGACTTTAAGGAACAAAATCCTTATCTGATACAAATTCTTCCACAAAACAGAAAAATAAATGCTCCTCAACTCATATCATGAAGCTAAAAAAAAAACCTGATATCAAAACCAGACAAAGACAATATGTGACGAAAATAATAGTTCAGATTGAACAGATTAAAGGAGGAAACTCATAAAATCATTTCAATAAATACAGAAAAGGTAGGTGAAAAATATTCAATACCCATTCATATTTTAAATTGTTTCTTGAAATAAAGATAGAAAAGATGCTATGTATCTTCCTCTTTTTCCAAGAAGTTAATTTGACTCAACTGTATCAATGGGGGTCCCTTGTCGCTTAATGGAGCAAGACAGTGGAGGGCAGGAAAAGAGTTGAGGTCAGGTTATTTACTTCTCTAATTCCCTCCTTCTCAGTACAAGACTTCTGGTAAAGTTAACTTCCCTGGGTTCTAGTAACCACTCCCTTTCTTTGCCCTTTTAGGCCCAGGGATAGTATAGCATTATCTCTTGCAAGTGGCCTTAAACTCTAACCACACCCTGGTAAATAAACAAAGTGTACCATTTGTTTCTTGACTCACACAACAGGCAATTTCCTTAACCTGAGAAGAAATTTGTAATCAGAAACTTAGAAAGTCATACTAAAATGGAGAAATGTTAACTGAGAGGAAGATGCATTCCCCCCTCCCATCATTGCTTCTATATAGCACAGAACTGGAACTACTTGACAGAAATATATGGATTCAGGAGTGCCTGGGTGGCTCAGTCAGTTAAGTGTCGGCTCACATTATGATCTCACAGCACTTGAGTTCAAGCCCCAAGTCAGACTCTGTACTAACAACTCAGAGCCTGGAGCCCGCTTCAGAATCTGTGTCTCCCTCTGTCTCTCTGTCCCTCTCCCACTCATGCTCTATGCTCTCTCTCTGTCTTTCAAAAATAAATATTTAAAAAATGTATATATATATATATACATGCAAAAGGAACAACAGCAACAAAAAACCCTTCCAGTCACAGAACTGCTTACATAGAAAACAATTAGAACTGTTATAGTTCAACAAGATTACTAGATATAAGAAACACTGTACAAACGTTTTCATTCTTATATTAGCAATCACTGGGAAACTTACCTCAAAAAATATTATTTACAATAATAAAAAAATAAGGTACCTAGAATAAATTATGTACAAGACTTTTACAGAGTGAATATAAAATACATTCTTCAAATAAGAGACAGTGTGTAGCAGTTAAAAGCACATATTCTAGAACCAGACTGCCTAAGTTCAAATCCTGGGGCCATTGTTAACTATTTAAATGACCTTGGACAAAAAAGTTTTTTTTTTAAATTCAAGTTAGTTAACATATAGTGTATTATTGGTTTCAGGAGTAGAACCCAGTGATTCATCACTTACATACAACTCCCAGTGTTCATCCCAACTAGTGCCATCCTTAATGCCCAAAACCCATTTAGCCCATCCCCCCACTCAACACCCCTCCAGCAACCCTCAGTTTGTTCTCTGTATTTAAGAGTCTTTCATGGGTTGCCTCCCTCTCTGCTTTTATCTTATTTTATTTTTCATTCTTTTCCCCTATGTTCATCTGTTTTGTTTCTTAGATTTCACGAGTGAAATCATATTTTTCTCTTATTTCACTTAGCATAATACACTGTAGTTCCATCCATGTTGTTGCAAATGGCAAGATTTCATTCTTCTTCGTCGCCAAGTAATATTCCTGTGTTGTGTGTGTCTGTGTGTGTGTATACAGACATATACATGTGTGCATCTTTATCTGTCATCAGTTGATGGACATTTGGGCTCTTTACATAATTTGGTTACTGTTGATAGCGCAGCTATAAAAATTACTTCAAATCAGCATTTTTGTATCCTTTGGATAAATTGCTAGTACTGCAATTGCTGGGTTGTAGGGTATTTGTAATTTTTTGAGGGACCTCCATACTGTTTTCCAGAGTGGCTGCACCAGTTTGCATACCCACCAGCAGAGCAAAAGGGTTCCCCTTTCTCCACATTCTTGCCAACATCTGTTGTTTCCTGGGTTAATTTTAGCCATTCTGACAGGTGTGAGGTGGTACCTCATTGTGGTTTTCATTTGTATTTCCCTGATGAGGAGAAATGTTGAGCATCTTTTCATGTGTCTATTAGCCAACCGGCTGCCTTCTTTGGAAGGCCCCTTTATCAGATATGTCATTTGTAAATATCTTCTCCCATTCTGTCAGTTGCCTTTTACTGTTGTTTATTGTTTCCTTTGCTGTGCAGGAGCAATGTATCTCAATGAGGTCCCAATAGTTCACTTTTGCTTTTGTTTCCCTCGCATCTGGAGACATGTCTAGTAAGAAGCTACTGAGGCAGAGGTCAAAGAGGTTACTGCCTGTGTTCTCCTATAGCATTCTGATGGTTTCCTATCTTACATTTGGGTCTTTTATCCATTTTAAATTTATTTTTGTGTATGGTGTAAAAAGTGGTCCAGTTTTCCCAACATTTGCTGAAGAGACTTTTTTCCATCGGGTGCACTTTCCTACTTTGTCAAAGATTAGGTGGCCATACATTAGTGGGTCCATTTCTGGGTTTTCTGTTTTGTTCCATTTATCTATGTGTCTGTTTTTGTGTCAGTACCATATTGTCTCGGTGATTACAGCTTTGTACAGCTTGAAGTCCCAAATTGTGATGCCTCCAGCTTTGGTTTTCTTTTTCAAAACTGTTTGGCCATTTGGGGGGTCTTTTCTGGTTCCATACAAATTTTACGATTGTTTGCTCTAGCTCTGTGAAGAATGCTGTTATTTTGATAGGGATTGCACTGAATGTGTAAATTGCTTTGGACCGTATCGACATTTTAACAATATTTGTCCTTCCAATCCATGAGCGTGGAATGCTTTTCCATTTCCTTTTGTCTTCTTCAGTTTTTTTCATAAGCATTCTATAGTTTTCAGTGTATAAATTTTTCACCTGTTTGGTTAGATTTATTTTTAGGTATCTTACGGGTTTTGGTGTACTTATAAATGGGATCGATTCCTTGATTTTTTTCTGCTGCTTCATTATTGGTGTATACAGTCGCAACAGACTTTTGTATGTTGATTTTAAACCCTGTGACTTTGCTGAATTCATGTATCAGTTCTAGCAATTTTTCAGTGGAGT